ATAGAAGAAGTGGTGTGTGGCAACAACTCACAACTGTTAAATTCCTTATCAACTTGATTGACAAAAGAAAAGCCCTGTAGAAATCAGTTAGTGGTCCTATCTGGGTTGCCATTTATGTTATTGAAAAAAGACCACTTAGAAGTCCCATCTAGGGCGCCTAATAATATTGGAATTTGAGGTGACAATTATATCACGTGCTTACTAGTAAATTCAGAATATTAATAAGCCTGTGGGTTCTTGCCTAAAATTCAAAGAATTCTGAGTACTGGCACAAATGAATGATACCATGTGATAAGTTTTAAGCTTTTCATTCAGTGAGAGAAATGCATAGGAGAGTGAGGGCCCTACCTAAGAGAGAGAGGAAAATTTAGATTCTTGCCGAGAACCAGGAGCCAGGCATGTGGAGAAACATGAAGGCCAAAAAGCATAGAGCGGGTGGCCTGAAGGCCATGTGCCCCAAAGGTGCAGGGGCAGCAAGTAGGTCCAGGGCAAAAGGGAAAAAAAGGCCAAAAAGTTCGCCGGCGCCGCGGCTCACTAGGCTAATCCTCCACCTAGCGGCGCCAGCACACCGGGTTCTAGTCCCGGTCGGGGCGCCGGATTCTGTCCCGGTTGCCCCTCTTCCAGGCCAGCTCTCTGCTGTGGCCAGGGAGTGCAGTGGAGGATGGCCCAGGTGCTTGGGCCCTGCACCCCATGGGAGACCAGGAAAAGCACCTGGCTCCTGGCTCCTGCCATCGGATCAGCGCGGTGCGCCGGCCGCAGCGCGCCGGCCGTGGCGGCCATTGGAGGGTGAACCAATGGCAAAAGGAAGACCTTTCTCTCTGTCTCTCTCTCACTGTCCACTCTGCCTGTCAAAAAAAAAAAAAAAAAAAAAAAAAAAAAAAAAAAAGTTCTGGCCCACTGTGTTCCAGGTATTTAATCCACTTCCAAAGGGAAATGGTTAATTAGTCTGATTAGATAGTGGGCACACATGTGTGGCTAGGTGGGGGCATGAGGTCACACAGGGGGTGTGGTGAAGGCGTGGTCTTCCAGCTCACAAATCTAATGAATTTTATCCTGTATGCCTGCCTACAACAGTTTTATTCAGTTAAAGCTACTTAATCAGGTACAAAATTTTTATGCTACTCATATGTGACATTTGGTTTTGTGAGGAGTTAGACAGGCTAATAGGAAGTTAGGTCAAGTCACCCTCTGAATGAGAAAAGGGCAGAGGCCCTTTCAGTGTGGGACAAAGTGCTAGCTCCACCCTCCTCCCGGAGGCTGCCTATAGCAACATGTAGTTTTTATGTTTTTATTATGAGAATAGGCTAGACAATGTTACCAATCCCCATTCCTCTGATGGGTTTTTCATTTTATCATGAGTAAACTAGACAAAAGTATAATTCCAGCCCTCCGATGGGTTTTGCCCTTGCCTTTGATTGGTTGCTATCCCCAGCCCACTGATTGGTTGTTAGCTGTTATTATGATTTTCTCCTTATTGACTAAATCTAGGTAGCCACTTTTCTGTATGAAAAAAAAAAAAAAAACAGCTTTGGCAAGTTGTCATGGGAAATTCCTCCCTTAGAACAATCCTCATGACTGTTGCAGAGTTAACACAAACAAATTTTGCTTTTTTCAGTATCCCTGTCCATATGGAAATTCTTCTTTGATGTGAGACAAGAACCAAAATCATCTTCATTGTCCTATAACAGTTTCATCTTCAATTACAACAGGGAACATTAAACAGAGTTTGAATTTTTGTCTACCTCACTATTCAGAATTTTTTGAATTATGATACAGCATTTGGCATTTTTTATAAATATAATCATAGAGGAAAACCTAGTCTATACTTACCAGTGTGTGTGTGTGTGCATCTGTGTATATGCATCTATGTGTTTAATTGGAGAATATGTTCTCTAAGAGTGGAATTCTAATCCATCATATGGCATGTATGTATATATATTCTTATAAAGTGGATAGTACAAGCCATTTTGAAGCAGATGTGAGCAATTATTCCAAGCCTTGGAAGTTTATTTTCTTGTGATGACATAGTTATAGGCACAGAAGGGCAAGTGAATATTGAAGCAAACTTAGCAGAGATAAATATACCTCATAGACCAGGCAAGCACCACAGGAGAGAACTGATACCCTAGTCTGCATTCAGACTGGAGTTTTTATGGATTTGGGTATCTGTAATGAATAAATTAAGCAGAAAAAGTTTTAAATGAGAATGATTAGTAAGTGCTGCAGACAGAATTTCCCCTGAGATATCGTCGCCATTTATTTATACTCTTAAAAAGTAGGACAGTGGAGTCTGCTTTTTGTCCCTTAGGTGCTCAAATTTTACTGAACAAACAACATATCCAGAGTAATTGGCTTAGAACAAATTTCTGTCATAAATTTAATATTTCTCATTACATCTTCTGGTCTTTATATAGGTCAAAATTGCCTATTTTCCAAGGCAGAATTATGATATTTACTTATCCACATCCAATTTCAAATGTTATTAATGAAACAAGGTAAGAATAAAATGATGAGAGAGTATTCATGTGAAAGAAAAATATTTCATGTGAAATAAAAAGCAGAGCTAGAGGGTGAGGAAATACTGGATTTAACAATGACTCATCTGAGCAAAGAAATCTGCCTCATTTGTAGGAATTGTTTTGTTGCCTCAAATAAAAGACAGTATTTTGGCTTTTGTAGGTTGTTAGAACCTGCTAGGCCACTGAGGCCTAAGGCCTCAAATCCAGGGAAACTATCTGCAGTATAATCTGAAAGCTAGTGGAATGTTTATTGCTCAGAAAAGCCACTTATCTGAGACATTCCAAACTATTGAGACAGCCTTTCTACATATCTCCCACCCACCTTATCAGGGTTTATGTGGGTCTCTGCACCTCTCCCAACAAGCAGCTTAAGAAAGGGCTCTGCCTGTTGCCTAAATGGTGAGAAGCCTGGATTGAAAACCCCTGTCCTCTCTCCAGGTAGGCTGAACCCCCACTCTCTTTAACCTGCCTATTCTTACCCCTCTAAAATAAAGTCTTTTCTACTTTAACCAGCTGCTTCTTCACCCTTTTTCTTTAAAGTTTTATTTATTTATTTGGAAGTCAGAGTTACACAGAGAGAGGGAGACACAGAGAAAGAGGGAGATCTTCAATCTGTTAGTTCACTTCCAAAAGTGGCTGCAATGGCTCCAGCTGAGCCAAGCCAAAGCCAGGACCCAGGATCTTCAACCTTATCTCCCATGTGGGTAGCAGGAGCCCAAATACTTAGGCCATCTTCTTCTCTTTTCCCAGGTCATTAGTAGGGAGCTGGATTAGAAGTGGAGCAGATGGGGCTTAAACTGGCATTCATATAAAATACCTGCATCACAGGTGGTGGCTTAACCCAATAATGTGATGCCAGCCCTCTCCCTGCCTTCTTTGAATCCAAAGATTCTACAATTTGAGAGAGATGCAGAGACTAAATAAAAAAAAAAAGACTTTTATTGTAGAAAGGACAGCATAGAGGAAGTTTATGATGGGATTGTAGGCTGCCCAGAGCTGGTGGAGGCTGAAAGTAAATATTGAGCCTCCTGGGCAATAAGGCAGCCTATTTTTTTGAGGGGGGAGGCATGGTAGAGGAGTATGTTGTTGAAGGGCTAGTTGGTAAAGTCCCTTTTTAACAATGTTTTATCGAAGCAATTTAGAATGTCCAGGTTAGGGACTTTCTCAAGTAATTAGCATTCCACTAACTTCTAGGTTATCTATACCCAGTTTCACTGCATTTGGGGGTTTAAGGCCTCAATGACCTACTAGGTTCCAACATAGGTACAGAAAAATATTTGAAATAATGATACTAGAGAAAATTCATGCAAACATAAAATTTACTTTCCCTAGAGTTCTTGCTAGAAATAAAAGAGGTACACATGTGAGATTTTGAATAAGAAACAATGTCCAAGATAAGCATGCATCACAATAAAAATGGATGGATGCTAATGGTATCACTGAGTTGAATCAGGAACTTACTCTATAGATGATGAAGTATGCCTAAAGGATGAGCAAATGAGAAGGTGATTAGCAGAGAATTTTATGGAAAAAGTGAAGAGAGAAATCCCTATACATGTTAGATCAGGCAAGCAGTTCAGTAAAGGACAGAGAGCTCGGTCTGCATTTATACTGAGGTTTTAATGGACATGAGTATGGGTCCCCATATTTTTCTCTTGCTTACTCTTCTGGGAAAGTCTAGGTGGGAGATTTTGGGATATAGAATTCCCATAACAAAACCCCTCCTGACAACAGGCCATCAAGTTTCTTATTTGTTAGAAAAGAAAATAACTCCTACTGAATAGTGATCCCTGTTGAATATAAGTGTGAGAATAAGAGAAAGGAAACGAACAGTTCGGCACATGCTCACTCGGACTTACCCCTAAATGATAGAGCTGGAATCGTGCCATGGGATTTCAAATCAATCACATTAAGGTGGCATGTACCAATGTCATCTTACTAGTCAAAGTGATCAGTGTAAGTTCATAATTGGTCATAGAGATAGGATTAGTTATCAAAGGGATCACATAAGCAAGATTAGTGTCTGCTAATAAAATTGATAGAATTAAAAAGGAGAGAACGATCCAACATGGGGAAGCAGGATACACAGCAGACTCATAGAATGGCAGATCCCCTAAACAGCACTTTGGCCTCAGAATCAGCCCTTAAGGCATTTGAATCTAGCTAAAAAGCCCTTGAGAGTTTCTTAAGCATTGAAATCCAAGACATTGTGGCTATAGAAAAATGAAAGAAGAAATAAAAAAATGACCTAAATGAAAGATCTCTGTGAATGAGATCCCAGTGGAAAGAATGGGCCATCAAAGAAGGAGGTACTTTCTCTGAAGGGAGGAGAGAACTAGCACTTAGATTATGGCCTTGTATAAATAAAGTCGGAGTTTGCGAACTCAAAAAGCTTCCATAGCCTTGGCAACTCATGACAAGAGCCTCAGGTGATTACTGACATCATAAATAAGAGTGTCAATTGTTAAATCAACAACAGGAGTCACTGTGAACTTACTCCCCATGTAAGATCTCTGTCCTTAATTTGTTGCACTTTGTGAATTAACAGTAAAATTGATACTCAAACAGTACTTTATACTTTGTGTATCTGTGGAAGGGCAAATTGTTGAAATCTTTACTTAGTCTATACAAAGTTGATCTTCTGTATATAAAGATAATTGAAAATTAATCTTGACGAAGAATGGGATGGGGGAGGGAGTGGGAAGTGGGGTGGTTTAGGGTGGGAGGGAGGTTATGGGAGAGAAAAGCCACTGTAATCTAAAAGTTGTACTTTTGAAATTTATATTTATTAGATAAAATTTAAAAAAAAAGAAATGAAAATGACTCCTTCAGACTAGTGATTATAACCTTGTCAGGCCAGCTGCATCATTCCCTGAAATCTGTGAATTCTTTACAATAAAGACAGGCAAGAATACTTAGGACTAGGATAAACAGAGAGGAAGCTGGATTTTGTTTTCTTTCAAAACTTATTTTCTTGTTCCATTGCACACAAATTTATTTTCTTTAAAGCTTCTCATTTTCTTCTTTTTTGCACACACAGGCTTTTATCTAACTAGCGGCCTTAATACTAAGAGCTGATACAGGTAACTATCAGTATATCAACAAACATTTCAATTATGTTGCGACAAATTTCTGTGGAAATGATTAAAATTCGTAACTTCTTTGTTTTTAATTTTCATATTATTTGAAAAGCAGGAGAGAGAGAGAGAGAGATCTTACATTCGCTAGCTCACTTCCTAAGTGCAGATATCAGCTGAGGCTTGGCCAGGGTGAAGCTGGAGTCAGGAATTCCTACCATGTCTCCGATGTGGTTGGCAGGAATCCAAGTACTTGAGCCACCAATGGTTGACTCCCAGTATATGCATTAGCGGGAAACCAGATCTAAAGTGGGAGAGATAACACTGAACTTAGGTAATAACGTTAAGGGATGTTCATATCCTAAGAAGCAATTTAACTACTGTGCCAAATGCCCACCCCTAATTATGACTTTTTAAAATAAAAATTTATTTATTCACTTGTTTGTTTATTTAAAAGGTAAAACAACAGAGAGTGAAAGAAGGAGGGAGAAACACAGAAAGAAGCAGATTGTCAATACAGTGATTCACTGCCCACTGCACTAATTGGGGCTGGGCAGGGCTGAAACCATGAGACAGGAACTCCATCTGTGTTTCTTACTTGTGTGAATGGAGCACAAGCAGTTAGGTCATCATCTGTTGCTTTCCTAGGCACATTAGCAAAGAGCTGAGTTTGAAGTGAGAACCTGGGACTTGAACTAGCACTCCAAATGGCAACCCAATATGGGAGTCTAGAATAAAGTGGCAACTTAACCTACTGCACCACAATGCCATCCCCTGAATCTGTGACTTCGTTTTTCACTACTTGTTTGCCATGTTTCTCTAGATACATAAAACTTTAATTACCAGGGGAAAGTTTCCAAGAATGTTTAAATATATATAAAACAAGAGTAAAGTAATAGAGTAGATTATGCATAAAAGTATTCTGGTGTTGGCACATAAAAGGGAATAAAAGTCCCTAAGAGCAAATCTATAGTGACTTTAATATGGGCTTTCAGTTCTTGACATTTAGAAAAGTGGAATCTGAGGTGACACACATTTTCTAACCGGAATTGGATCTGTCCTTTGACAATATGTGCTTAAGGGAGATCTCAAAGTGCTACATCTCCACTTCTGTATCTAACACGATGACAAAAGGAAGAGCAATTAAAGCAAACCATATCAAAGATACTTTAACATATTGCACATTTTACTGAAGGATGACATAGATATGGTTCTGTTAGGAATACCTTTAATTTTTTGAATATTACTAAGCTACAAATTTTGGAGGAATACGTTAGAAAATTACGATTTAATCGCAACAATGTATAAAATATTTTATTTAAATTTATTTTTCCAACATTTACATTTAATAGTGATTAAACACTGGAAACAATCACACGGTTCTTGCTTTTCAGTTTCTTTTATTTGCATTCCAGTGAAATTCATTTAAACTGGTATCTAGATCAGACTAGAGCAAAGCTAATGGGACACAGCATGAGCTGTGGGTATGGCTGCAGGGGTTGCTTTTGCGATTGGTTTAATAATAATATAGCATATGATGCAGATGCAAATTGATTGTTGATATATTGCAATGACTTATTGATTACTCTCCATCTTTCTATTCCAGAATCTTGATTTTAAGCCCTCTTTCCCAGAAGTAGTCAGGGAAGAATTTATTCCAATGCCTGATGGCTGAAATATTCATTTTATTGCTTATTTATTTAAATTTAAATGTAATTACTAAGAAAAATGTGTGTTGATTATTATGACTACTTAAAATATTCTCTAGGAATGAAATTGAAGCAATAAAGATTTACCTATCAGTGGAGGATTCCAACATGGAGGATTACGGAATGACATAATGCACTAGGGTAAGCATAAACAGTTTAAAAAATGTAGGAAGTACATTTCCAGGGGAGAATTGGAGAAAAAAAAAACTACACTGGACACAAGAGGAAGAGGAACACAGTGGGCCTGTGTGGAGGTTGTGGACATGCAGCACGAACATGAACACAATGTAAAACTGCAACAGCTAAGAGTCAGAGCAGGAGGCAGCTTGGGACCAGATTTCAGCAACCTGTGGTAATATAGCCTGTGGGAGAGCATGGCATGAGCATGGACTAGAGACGTGGGGGCTAGTGGTTGCTAGCAGTTGCCTTTGGAGCCAGTGAAATTAGAGGGGGCACATTTATCTCACCTTAACTTCCCCAAAAATGTGCCTCCTACCCTTTTGAGAAAGGGCAGGTGCATTTTGGCTTTGGGTTGGAGTGGAGGACTTTATACATGCACACAGCAACTGGCTGAGACTGGATGCTATCTTTTCTGCAGTACTGAATACAGTGGTAGGAAAGAGCAACAACAATCAAGTGTCTCTCAGCCAGTGGCCAGTGTGTTCCAGAGATTCTAGTAGAGAGAAGAATATGCAGTGTCCACTGACCTTGACACTGGCTGGGTGGTGGCTGGACAACCACGTAGTATGATGAAGCGCCCGCTGCCTCCCAGGGTCAAGACGCTTGAGTGGAGCTGTCTCGGGAGTCATCTGCCTATCTGTTGACTGGACAGCCTGACAGGCAGAGAGAAACCACTGCACAGAGCAACTGAGGGAGCCTTGTGTGCTGATACTGTAGGGACTCGGTAGTTACACACAAAGATGGAGGCTGTAGCAGAGTTTCTGAGGTGTCACTGGGTGGGATTGGAACTCCCTGGTTGCCTAGAGTAGGTCATTGTAGCAGGAAGTGTGTTCAGAGTGATGACTGTGCAGATCATTTGTGTGGTTCATATGGTGGCACGTAACACACTGGGGGCTAACACCTGGGCATTGAGATCTACGATGCCCAACTTGGGTATTACCCTTGCCATACCCTGGAGCACACACCCCCCACATCTCTTGATATTCACTGAAAGTCAAGGCATTTCACAGAGCCACAGAGGCATAGATCAAAGATAAAAGCAATCAGAGGAAAAAAATCAAAATCAACTCCACAAATACATAAAAACAAACACAGTAATTCAAGAAACAAAAATAAAGAAGACACCATAACTATATTCCCCTCAAAGGAACACAACAGCAATTCAATATTAGAATGTGAAGATGAAAAGATTGAGGAAATGCCAGAAACAGAATTCAAAAATTAATCATATGTTTACTCAAAAGCAATCAGAAGCAAATCCACAAAATAAAGAAAACCATACATGACATGAATGAAGTTGTTTGCCATGAAATTATGAGATTTTAAAGAGAAATCAACATGAAATATTAGAAATGAAGAATTCAATAGATCAAGTGAAAAATACAGTGTAAAGCTTTATCAACAGACTTGGTGAGGCAGAAAAAAGAATATCCAAACTGGAAGACAAATCTTTGAAAATTTTAGAGTCAGACCAAAAAAAAAAAAAAAAAAAAGAAAAGAAAAGAAAGAGTGAGAGAAGAAGAAAATAGAAAACTTAAAAACAATACTGGGGGTCCAGTACAATGGCTCACTTTTAATCCTTTGCCTGCAGTGTAAGCATTCCATATGGGTGCCAGGTTCTAGTCCCTGCTGCTCCTCTTCCAGTCCAGCTCTCTGCTATGGCCAGGGAGGGCAGTGGAGGATGGCCCAAGTGCATGGGCCCCGGCACCCGTACCAGGAGGAAGCACCTGCCTCCTGGCTTCAGATCAGTGCAGCGCTGGCAGTGGCAGCCATTTGGGGAGTGAACGAATGGAAGGATGACCTTTCTCTCTGTTTTTCTCTCACTGTCTATAACTCTACCTGACAAACAAATAAAAGAAAAATGTTGAAGTTTTATGGTATACTATCAACCCAACATATAAAAATTAGAGTTCCCGAAGGCATAGAAAGAGAAAATAGAATAGAAGGCCTATTTAGAGGCCTGGAATCAACCTAAATGCCCATCAACAGTAGACTAGATAAAGAAATTATGGGACATCTACTCTATAGAATACTATACAGCAGTAAAAAACAATGAAATCTGGTCATTTGCAACAAAATGAAGGAATCTGGAAAACATCATGCTGAGCGAAATAAGCCAGTCCCAATGGGAGAAATATCATATGTTCTCCTTGATTGGTGTCAACTGACTGAGCACCAAAAAGGAAACCTGTTGAAATAAAAGGGACACTATGAGAAACAGTGACTTGATCAGCCCTTGTCCTGACTCTTGATGAACAACTTAATACTTTATCCCTTTTAGTATTTTTTTGTCCTACTTAGTACTATTGATTGAACTCTGTAATTAACACACAATTATTCTTAGGTGTTTAAATTTAACTGAAAAGTGATCTCTGTTAAATATAAGAGAGGGAATAAGAGAGGTAGGAGATAAACAATTTAGGACATGCTCAATTGGACTTGTCCCAAATGGTAGAGTTGGAAATGTGCCAGGGGATTCCAATTCAGTTCCATCAAAGTGGCATGTACCAATGCCATCTCACTAGTCCAAGTGATCAATTTTAGTTCACAATTCATCATAATGATAGATCTAGGAGTCAAAGAGATCACATAAACAAGACTAGTGTCTGCTAATACTATCTGATAGAATTAAGAAGGAGAGAACGATCTAACATGGGAAGTGGATACACAGCAGACTCATAGAATGGCAGATGCCCTAAACAACACTCTGGTCTCAGAATTAGCCCTTAAGGCATTTGGATCCAGCTGAAGAGCCCATGAGAATATTTCAGACATGGAAAGCCAAGACACTCTGGCAAAAAAAAAGACCTAAATGAAAGATCTCCTCGAGTGAGATCCCAGTGGAAAGAATGGGCCATCAAAGAAGGAGGTACCTTTCTCTGAAGGGAGGAGAGAACTTCCACTTTGACTATGACCTTTCCTAAATACGTTCAGAGTCACGAACTCAAAATGCTTCCATAGCCTTGGCAGCTCATGACAAGAGCCTAGGGTGGTTGCTGATGCCATAAACAAGAGTGTCAAATTATTAAGTCAACAACAGGAGTCACTTAATGTGTTGTACAATGCAAATTAATGCTACAACTAGTACTGAAACAGTATTTTATACTTTGTGTTTCTGTGTGGGTGCAAACTGTTGAAATCTTTACTTAATTTATACTAATTTCATCTTCTGTATATAAAAATAATTGAAAATGAATCAATGCAAATGGAATGGGAGAGGGAGCAGGAGATGGGAGTTTTTCAGGTGAGAGGGAGTTATGGGAGAGAAAAAGCCATTGTAATCCAAAAGCTGTAATTTGGACATTTATATTTATTAAATAAAAGTTTAAAAAAATGTGCAAGAAAGAAATGCTGGATTTCTTTCAGAGGATTTCTAATTAGATTCACAGCTGACTTCTGATCAGATATACTGCATGCTAGCAGGGGGTGGATAGAGATAATCCAAGTCTTAAAAGAAAAAAAAATGTCAACCCAGAAAACTGTACAAAATATTAGTGAAATGAAGAGTTGTTTTTCTTTAAAATAAGCAAAATAGACACACCATTGGACAAACTAATCAAAAAGAAAGTGCGAGAAGGTTCAAATCAATAAAATCAGAGATGAAAAGGAAAATATAACAACAGGTACCAGAGAAAAAAAGAGAATCATCAGGAATTATTACAAAGAGCTATATGCCAACAAACTGGGAAAATTGGAAGAAACAGATTCCTTGACAGATAAAATCTACAAAATTTCAGTGCTGAATACATAGAAAACTGTTTATACCAATAACCAAAATTAAAATCAAATCAATAATAAAGACCCTCCTAACAAAGAATACCCAGGAATGCATGACTTCACTGCTGAATTCTACCAAACATTTAAAGAACTAACTCCAATTCTTCTCAAGCTATTCAAAAATATTCAAAGGGAGAACTCCTCCTAAACTCCTTCTATTAAACCTGCATCACCATAGTTCCTAAACCAGAAAAAGGAACAACAGAGAGAGAGAACTATAGACCAATATCCCTGATGAATATGGATGCAAAAATCCTCAACAAAATATTAAGTAATCAAATCCAATAGCACATCAGAAACATCATTCACCCAGATCAAGAGAGATTTATCCCTGATATGCAGGAATGGTTCAACATGGGCAAATCACTCAATGTGATACATCACTTTAACAAACGGAAGAATAAAAACATATAATTATTTCAATCAATGCAGAAAGGACATTTGATAAAATACAACATGCTCTCATCATGAACACCTTAAGCAAATTGGATATAGAAGGAACATTCCTCAACACAATCAAGGCAATCTTTGACAAATTCATGGCCAGCATCTTATTGAATGGGGGAAAACTGGGAACATCCCCTTAAGATCCAAAACCTGACATGGATGCCACTCTGACCATTACTATTTAATATAGTTCTGGAAGTTTTAGCTAGGGCCATTAGGCAAGAAAAATGAATCAAAAAAAAAGGCAAGAACTCAAACTATATCTATATGCAGTAACATGATACTATATGTAGGGGATTAAAAAGACTACTGAGAGACTATTGGAACTCATAAATGAGTTTTGTGAAGTGGCAGGATACAAACTCAAGAAGGAAAAATCAATAGCCTTTGCATACACAAACAATATCATGGCTGAGAAAGACCTTTAAAGATCAATCTCATTCACAATAGCTACAAAAATTAAATACCTTAGAATAAATTTAACCAAGGATGTCAAAGAACTTTACAGTGAAAATTGCAAAATAATAAATAAAGAAATAGAATAAGACATTAAATAGTGTAAAAATCTTCCATGTTCATGGATTGGAAGAGTCAGTCATCAGAATGCCCATACTACCAAAAGCAATTTACAGTATCAGTGTGATCCCAATCAATAGACCAATGATATTCTTCACAGATCCAGAAAAAGGATGCTAAAGTTCATATGAAAACACAAGAGACCTTGAACAGGTCACTGG